CACCAGGTGTGGTGGTGCACACCTTTAATCCCAGCACCTGGGAGGCACACCCCCAGCTCACCAAGATTTAACTTTCCAGGTAACAGAAATATGTCCCAATTCATAGCTGTGTGCTATTTAAATAAAGCAGTCCCTAAAAACCACAAGTCTAGGGCTGGGCATGGTGGTGCTCACCTTTTATCCCAGCACTCAGAAAATGGAGGCAGGTGAATCTCTGAGTTTGAGGCCAGCCTGGTCTATATAGTGAGTTCCAGGCCAGCTGGGGCTATAGGGAGACCATGTCTCAAAAAGACCAAATTATATATATATATATATATTTACATGTTACTTACTTCCATCTCTGCTGCCGTTATAGCGCATTTGTCATCTTCTGAAAACTTTTTCGGCAGCATAAGTAACACCATATAGCTTTGTCAAAGATTGAGTTTCATTTGAATCGGGCTGAGGTAGAGTTTAGCATTTAAGACTTTGAAAAAGGTCTTTGGAATTGACAGTTGTGGAAGGAAGCAAGACTGGGCAGACAGAAATCAAATGGATATATAGACTTGATGGCAGCCTTGGCAAAACATATGCCTGCCTTTAGCACTACAATGACCCTCTGGAGTTATACCAAGTTAGGCTAAGATGCCCAGGACTATAGGCTCCCTCAGTGATCATAAGTGAATGTCATCCACTCTGTGAAGGGTGTGGACTCAGCAAATGACCTTTTGCAGCTGAAGCAGACCTTGAAGATATTCCCACCTTGCTGGCCAACAATATCACAGCAGTGGAGATGATGAACATTCACTTGTGGAGCATTTAGTTAACACAGCATAGGGTCTATCACACCATGGGTCTCCATAGTTCTTGCCAGTGGCCTCCCATCTCACTGAGAATAAAATATAAAGGTCTTACTATTTCTCTCTGTCTTCATCTCTTCCAACTTTTCTCCTAACTCATTTCACTAATGCCATATTAGCCATCAGGCCTAACAAAATTTCCCCACCCACTTCTCTCCTACTTCCCGGCATTCTACTCTTGTCTCTGAACTTGACAAAGTACATGACATAAACATTAAATTCATTGTAAAAATTTCCTATTGGAGACAGATGTTACTAAAGGAGAAATGTGTAAGAAGGAGGTAGTTAAATGGGAGGGGAAGAAGGAGGGCTATACAAGGAACTAATGGGAATAAAGGGGAAGATGGAGCTCAAGAGAGGTGGGACCATAGCAGACAAATTATCAAGGGAGAAACGAGGAAAATGGGGACATTTTAAATGGGGAGGAAAGGGAGAGAGAATAAGACAGGGAGAGAAAGGGGAGAGAGAAATAGTGCCTAGCTAGTGTAAAAAAAAAGGAATCATATTAGTCCAAAAACTTACTGAAAAATTATATATACAATATGTCTACATGAATCTGTGAGTTTAGCTGAAGGTTACATAACAAGAAACAGCAGCAAATGGGAAAACCCTTTCTTTGATTTGTTGGCTAGGGTAGTCCAAGAGACTCCCAAAATTACACAGGCTATTGCCACATTCCTTGATTGCCTCCCAGAACTTGATGGTAAGACTCTATTGTTGAAGACAAGACATACTTTGAACACAGGATTTGGAGCAACAGAGGCTGGAATTGACTTGGAAGCCACCTCTCCTGAAGGCTAGCTCTTGTAGCTTTGGAGAGCACCATGCAAATTGTTAAAGGAGAACATCAATTGATGGTCCAACCCCAGCATCAAGGCCAAAAAATCACATCAATGACCAGCACAGCAAATGATATTGGTGCAGTAGTGGTACTTTTATCTTGGGGGTAATCAACAGCTACGTAATTGTACTGAAAGCCCACTCAATGGGAAGAAACTCATGTGTGGTATACTGTAAACATAGCCAAATACACATGGCTGGAGAGGTCATAAAATGTAGAGAAAATTTCAAGGCTCTCATATCCCTTGACAAATGTAATTTCTTACTATGTGTAAAATATGGATACTTAAATTTATAGACAAGTATCCCAGCAACCACCCATCAAAAAATCTTTTTTTTTTTCTCAAGCGATAGAGATAATTATAGAATTCCACATCTGGTCACACACAGAGACTGTGAATTTCCCAATCCTATGTGGCATATCTAGGATGAAACCTCTATATTTAAGGCTCATGGGACATAGAACAAGGGATGAAGAGAACACTACTGTGTCTTTCAATTCTCGTCAATGAAGGTCCCTCATGCAAGAGAGGGCTGGGATTGCAAAAGGTCACAAATAGCCAAAACGAAGAGAATAAGGTCTGCAATGTGGGTCCTTGGACAGGATTCCTATATTAAAATCCACCTAGCCAGGGCTCAACGACTGTTGTGGAAGCAAGGGAGGAAAGATTGTAAGAACCAGGGAGGGGGTGCTTGACCATATGGAAATAGTCCTACAGGCTCCTGGGGCCCTTCTCATGTGAACCTACAGCAATGGTGTCATCATGCACAAGGCCCATGAAATTTTTTTTTTTATTAATGTCTTTTTGAGACAGGGTCTCCCTGTAGCCCCAGCTGTCCTGGAACTCACTATGTAGAACAGGCTGGCCTTGAACTCACAGAGACCTGCCTGCCTCTGCTTCCTGAGTGCTGGGATTAAAGGCGTGCGTCACCACACCTGGCAAGACCCATGAAAAATTAAGCAGGCCAAACCTCAGCACAGAACTGTGGAAATGAACAGCAGGCCCCAATTTTAGTCGAAGATTTACTGGCAGCTGATTTCCGCTGAGTAAGGAAGAGCTGATCTTCTTAAACAGAGGGGCTCTAGATAGGCTGACTAGATCTCAATGGATGAACTTGCACTTAGGGACATCTGGAGACACTAACTTTACATGATAGGCCTTAGCACAAATGACAGAATGTATGAACTCCATGGGGGGGTGCTATGGGAGGGTGCCAAAGGGGAAGGAGCTATAAAGATGATTTTCTGTATGAAATGCCCAAAAATTCATTTAAAAACTTTAAAAGAAATTTTGTGTTAAGCTCATACCCAGATATGACCAAGGATGGTTTCTGCATTTTATTCAAATCTCTGTTTCAAATTCTATTTTCTCAGATAGACCTTTTTTCTCCAAAATGTAGCAAAGAGCACACTACTCTTTCACCATGTTTATTTTTCTTTTTAGCCTTTAAATGACCCTCCATGGTTTTATACCCCCCCCACACCCTTGCTTGTCCATCTGCTTGCTCCCTCCACTTGACTACATGCTCCATGAAAGAAGTTATTATTTTTTTCCTGTAGCCCCAATAACTATAACAGTACCTGGCACACAACTTGTGCTTAATCAATATTTCTTAATTGCACTACTGTTATTTTTAGTGTCAGGGCAGTATTCCATAGGACAGAGGAAAGAACTGAGGCACTGGACTGAAATGAACCTAGGTATTATTTGTGGTTATAGCTGTGAAATACTCTCTGTGGATGATTTTGATGGTGTATGTATAACAGAATTGTGGTGAAGTCAAATGGAATACTGTCTAAAGCATTATCAAGGGCCTAATGCATAGCACTAAGAATGTAAAAGCTGTTACCACAGTGCCTAGCATGTAGTAAATGCTCATTGTTTTAATAATTATTGGATAAATACATGGATTTATGATTAAGATTGTTTTTGATGAGCCTGTGATTGATGAAATGGTACAAATAATCTTCATTTTAGAGTGCCCATAAGATAACATGGGCTGATAACTGCACTTGAGAGAGTTTTGTTTCCTATCTCAGGCTTCCATAACAAAACTTTATAAACCATGTAGCTTAAGCAACAAATGTTTACTTCCCATGGTCTGGTGGCTAGGGAGTCCAAGATCAAGGTACTGGCCTATGCAGGGTTTCTGGTGAAGGCTCCTTTCCAGCCTTGAGACAGCCACTTCTCTCTACATTCTTCTATGGCCTTTCCCTGGTACAGGGGATAAGAGGGTGGAGATCTCTTCCTATTTTCATGAAGCCATTGATCCCACCCAGAGGATCCTACCCTTATGATCTAATATAACACTGATTATCCCCCAGAGGTCCCATCTCCAAATACCAGGACATAGGGTCATAATTCCAGTGCTCTGTGAAGAGGCACAAACATTCAGTTCATAAGCTTCTTTTAATGTCAGAAATTTCAACAACAAAAATTTTAGCATGTGGTGTTGGAGAATAAAATTTCCTTATATACTGTATCTGAATCTATTTAAAATTGAATTTAATAAGGGTTAATATAGAAAATTTCAGTTGAAGAAATCTTGTGGCTTTGTTTGCAAAACAAATCATCCTTTTGCAATCTGAATCATTCTAATTTTTGTTTGTAAATTTTGATATTTGCACACTTAATTTTGTCCAACTATGGACAGAACCGCTGCCATGGTTTCTGAGAGTGTGTTTACTGAACTAACCCGCAATAGTCCTTCAGGAGGACAAAATGTAGGTAAAAACTCAGAATATACATAGATTTTAAGCATTGCTAATCTTCTTAGGAAACACACATTAAAAATAACTTTTATTCAGATTTTATTTAAATTGTTCCTCACTAATACACCTAATACTCTTTCTTTCTTTTTCTTTCTTTCTTTCTGTCTCTCTCTCTTTTTTTTTTTTTTTTTTTTAACGTAGTCATCTTCCTTCAAGCAGCAACAGCAGAGAGAAATTAGCAACAGCAAGCACCTAAGGTTGGCTGCAGCCCACTGGGTAGGCCTGAATGGCTGCAAGAGGCCAGGTAGGAAGGTTTGCTCTGTGACAAACAGGCCAGCCGCTGTCACCACCTAATGGACACCAGTCGAACGTAGCCAGAAAACAGCTGCCCTTAGGGAGCCAGAAGATATTAGCTCCCTGCAAATAAATCTTATATACAACCAGTCTGCGTGCAAAATACAGTTAAGTTTAAATACCAACAGTATAAGACAGCCCCCGGCTGCCCAGAAAAAAGCGCAAGACTTTCGCCAGCAGGAAGGGAGCAGCATCCAATTGGCGCTCGGTTCTCAGTGGCCAATCAGAACTCTCCTTACAAAGGCGCTCTGGGACCGCGGAGCTGGGCGGCTCTCTCGAGCGGGGTGCCCCTGTCACCTGCAGGGGCCAGCGCCCCCGAGCCTGCGTTATCGTCTGTGCAGCGAGGGAAGAGCGGTGCAGCTTGCTGCATCCCCTCCGCTCATGTAATGCACTCCCTGAACCAAGAAATTAAAGCATTCTCCCGGAATAATCTCAGGAAGCAATGCACCAGGGTGACCACGCTAACTGGGAAGAAAATTATAGAAACCTGGAAAGACGCCAGAATTCATGTTGTGGAAGAAGTAGAGCCGAGCGGTGGGGGTGGTTGTGGCTATGTGCAGGACCTTAGCTCGGACCTGCAGGTTGGCGTTATTAAGCCCTGGTTGCTTCTGGGTGAGTAGATTGACGTGCCACCGCGGCCTGGAGTCTTTTAAGAGATCCACCCGGCATCCGTTGTAGTCTGTGTTGTCAACTCTCCTGCTGAAAAGTTAAAATGTTTCCTTTTTTGGTTAAGGAACTTCTCTTATAGAGACTTTTCTACCCCACAGTATGCCTTTAAGAAGGCAGTATCACTTGGCATCTGAATATTGAATTTCAGATTTCATCCCTATTTTTCTAAGTTCTCTGGAGGATAAACAGGGATGCTGTGTTTTCTTATGTTATAAAAAAGACTATATCCTTAAAAAAACCAAAAACCCAAAGGAAGCTTTTATCGGGCAAAACAACATGACAAGGGTTAAAATATGGAAAAGTTTTCCTGAGTTGTTAAAGAGGATGTTGAGTGGTGGCCTCCAATGGCTGCATATGTTCATGGTGCCTGTCTTTGGGGTGTTAGGAGCAGGGCTTATATTTTATAGTTAAGAGTCTGATGGTCTTATGATGTCTTGTGATATGGAAATACTGAATCCGTGTAGAACCACAGTCCACACAAAGCAAAAGAAGTAAGGCTGTAACTTGTTATCTTATCAATAAGATATGGTGATCTTTAGAAATCAGTTGACGATGTCTGAATTGCTTTTCATTTATGAATGGGAAACTAAGACTTGGGAAGATTAGATAACTTGTCATTGTTTATGTGATAGTCAAGGCATTCTTGAGTAGAAAGAGCACAGAACCAGGAGACATACATACCCAAGTACAATGTGACCTATACACAGCATATTATTAGAAAGATCTCTAGAAATTATCCGCTCCATTTTACAAATGGGAACTGGGCTTTAAGATTAAGTAATTTGCACAGGTAACAAATTTAGTAAATAACAGAGCTGGGCATCAAGTTGAAGTTCCATTGACTCCTGTGCTTGATCTGTATGCTAGACTGAGGTTAGACCAAGTTTATTGATTTACTATGCCTCCAATTTCTGAGATTACATGGTTCATTTCCTTTATCCTAGCTGGTTCTCTAAAAAGCCGTCAGCTTTAACTAAAGTAACAGTATCTACTCAACCCATAAGTTCTGGCATTGTTGTAAAAGTTTTCTTGATACAATTCAAATCGTGTAAATAACTATTATCATAAGAATTGTTATACCTGCTGTCTTTAAACTGACTGAATAAATATCACAACTGTTTTTTTTTTCAGTGCAGAACAGTATTATAACATCTCACCAAATTAACAGTGAAAAATTAAGTGAATTATTTGGCTAATCTGGACAGTTCACCCAGATCCTGTTCACTGTATTTAGGAATGCATCCATGTGCACTTCTCAGTTGCTTGGCTTCCATTGTAGTAATAATTTAAAAACAATTATGGTAAAAATTGTGTATATTTATTGATACAAAGGCTTTGTGGCTTGTTTTCCACTTCATTTGAGACAGAACTCATGTAGCTAGGATTGATCTTGAACTCATTATATGGCTGCAAGGATGACCTTGAACTTTTCTGATAATCTGGTTTCCATTTCCCCAATGCTAGGATTATAGGCATGCACCATCATGACCAGTCTTTTGTTGTTGTATTGTTGTTTGTTTTGTTGTTTTAAGACTGGGTCTCACTCTGTAACTCTTGCTGGTCTGGCGCTTACTATGTAGACCAGGCTGACTTTGAACTCGCAGAGATCCTCCTCCCTCTGCCACTCAAGTGCTGGGATTAAAGGCAAGTGTCACAATGCCTGGCAATCTACCAAGACCCATTTTATGTGGTGGTGGGAATCAAACCCAGGGCTTCATGAATGCTAGGCAAGCATTCTGCTAACTGAACTATACCCCCGACCCCAACTTGATATTTTTTTATTTGAATTTACCCAGAGTGAGCCCAATAAAGCAGTGTTTAAATTTTATTATTTTTATTTTATCTGTATGAGTGTATTGTGTCATCAAATGCTCCTAGAGGTCAGAAGAAGGCGTCAGATCCTCTGGAACTGGAGTTATAGATGGTTGTTAGTTGCCATGTGGGTACTGGGAATCCAGTGTGGGTCCTGTGCAAGAGTAGTCAGTGCTCTTAATCAATGAGCAATCTCTTCAGTCCAAGGTAGTATTCTTAGACTGAGGATGGAACATTCTCCAGGATCCCTGGAAAGTTAGGGGGGGACTTCTGAAACTAGCCTCCTTTGTGGATCAGGAGATGAGGCATGTTCATAGGCACAGCCATCTTTTCCTCTGAAAATCAGAGTGATCTTTAAGGGCCTAGTTACAAATGCCTTTTTTTCTGAGGCAGTTAGGGATGGTTACATCCAAAGTTCTTTCTCATGACTGATGCAGGCATCAGTGTCTCTCTGGGGGATTGGGGTTGTTTCCAGGTTGATTCTAAGAGTTTCTCCATTTCCCAAAACAGCACAGTTTCTTCCCAGCACTGCATGCCCAGCAGTAGACTATAAAGAAACTGTGATACTTGCAAAACTACATCTAAACTCTAATGAGCTATTGCATTTTTAAAAATCTTATATAAACCTTTGAACTGTCTAACAGGTGGATGAAAATCTTAGTAAATATTTTCCTTAGATTTTGCAAATTATATTTTTGCAATAACAATTATTAGGTCTTTTCTTAAATCTAATGTTATGTGAAGAAGTAGAGATTTTATTTTTTCTGCATAGTTAAAAGGTTATTTTAAGGGCTGGCTGTGGTGGCACATGTCTTTAATCCCAGCACTCGGGAGGCAGAAGTAGGCAGATCTCTGTGAGTTCAAGGCCAGCCTGGTCTACATAGTGAGTTCCAGGCCAGCTGGGGCTACAGAGAGACCCTGTCTCAAAAAAGAACCCCCTCTAAAAAAGGTTATTTTAACTACATTTATTATTTATTTGTTTTTGTCTTTTTGTTTGTTTTAAGGCGAGGTTCTCCCTGCAGCCCTAGCTGGCCTGGAACTAGACCAGGCTGACCTCAATCTCACAGAGATCTGCTTGTCTTTACGTACCCAGTGCTGGAATTAAAGGGCAGGTTCCACCATACCCAGCTCAACATTTGTTATTTATGATATCCATTTTTAGTAAGAAATTTAAACTGATAATATTTTAAGATTTTTCTCTTCAACTCCATGTGAAGAGCTTGAGATACTTTATATGAGATATAAACATTTAAAATTTTTTATTTATTTTTATTTTGTATATACGAGTGTTTTGCCAGCATGTATTTAAGTGTGCCATTTGTGGGCAATGCCCATGAAGGCCATAAGAGGGCATCAGATCCTCTGGAACTGGAGTTACAGACCTCTGTTAGCTGCCATGTGGGTGTTGGGAACAGAACCCAGGTCTTCTGTAAGAGCAGCCAGTGTTTTTAATCACTGAGCCATCTTTCTAGCTCTGAGGTTTATAGTTCTGATATCTAGAAGACATAATGTCCTTGGGAGACAGATAAAACTTTAAATTTACATAATTTCTTTTATGATATAAAATTCTTTGAGGAATATTATGATACCTAATCTTTGTAGTAATTTATGTTCCCCTTTTTATTCACTGATGCTCAGAAGTTATTTTTTTTCAAATAAAACATTTTTAGGATATTATTTAGAGTTTTTTTCTGTGTACAAATGTACTAAGGATTTTTAGTTTCTCCTTGTGATTCTAAAAATAGTATTGGGTCTGAGGATGTAATGGTAGAAGACTTGTCCACTTCCCACTATTGTCCTTCCCCAGAAAATGATTTGTAACTTAAGACATGCTACATTAGAACTTATACTTTATTTAATATTTTCATTTTTTTAAAAAAAAATACAGACAGGGTCCTAGGTATCTTACATACCTTGTATTTTATGATTCATATTTTATAATTGCAAAAAATGAACTTAGAGGTACTAACTTCAATAGTATATAATGTATAATCTATATAAATTATGTCATCTGTAACATTGTAAAACAATCCTTAGCTAAATAATGGCCGGGCATGGTGGTGCACGCCTTTAATCCCAGCACTTGGGAGGTAGAGGCAGGTGGATCTCTGTGAGTTCAAGGCCAGCCTGGTCTACATAGTAAGTTCCAGGACAGCTGGGGCTACAGGAAGACCCTGTTGCAAAAAGACCAAAAAAAAAAAAAATTAACGTGATTCGTGTCAATATAAACTATCATAAAATCATCATTATTATTAGGCTTCCTTGTTTAGTTTTGTTCTTATTCTCAACTCCTTTTAAAAAATTATCACATGGCCAGGCATGATGGTGCATGCCTTTAATTCCAGCACTTGGGAGGCAGAGGGAGGTGGATCTCTGTGAGTTTGAGGCTAGCTTGGTCTACATAGTGAGTTCCAGACCACCCGGGGCTACAGGACATCCTGTCTCAATAAGACAAAAAAAAAAAAAATTATCATAGTAAGCCACTTATAATTGCACATGCCTGTAATCCCAGAACTTGGGAGGCTGAGGCTGGCAGATTATTATGAGTTTGAACACAGCCTGAGGCTAGTGTGGCAACAAAGTAAGATTGTGTGTGTGTGTGTGTGAAAAACATTATATGGGGCTAGCAAAAAAGCTCAGTGGGTAAGAGCACTTATAGCCAAACCTGAGTTTGAGCTCCAGGACCGATGTAGTGAAAGGCGAGAACTGAGTCCCCCCCACAAGTTATCTTCTGATTTCCACACATAAACTAAGACATGCACATGCACATGTACACACACTTGTGCAGGTGCAAACACACATGCAAAATAAATAAAATTTAATAAATCAAATATTTAAAATAAAAATGCATCATGCAGTAAAATTGATTTGGTAGAGTTGTACGGATCTTTATACAAATATAGATTACTATAACCACTGTTAAAATTGTAAATAGATTAAAATTGACATCAGTTTTTAAATTTTCACTTAAAGTGATTGGCCAAAAGATGATTCTACTTTTCAAAACAATCGTTTTAAAAGCAACACGTTTTCATAATATATGGAGTGTTTCTTCCCCCCCCCCATTCAAAAGTTAAGGAAAGACTGTAACACAAAGGATGCATGTAAAATTGGAGAAAAGCTGGGTCAGCAAGATGGCTCAGTAGGTAAAGATGCTTGCCACCAAGCCTGAAAACATGAGTTCAATTCCCAGGACCCACATAGTAGAAGGAGAGAACCAACTCCCACAAGTTGTTCTCTGACCTCCATGTGTGCTCATAGACACTAAATAAATGAATAAATAAACGGAGAAATAGTGGAGAAAAGCTAATGTATATTTCTAAAATGTAGACAGAATTAACTTAAACTGAATATTAGACAATATTAGGTTAAAATAACAATTACCTGAAGTCTATTTCTACTGACATATTGTTTCTTTTAATTTCCTTGATGTTTGGAAAGGCCGAGCATACACAAAGTACATTTTAATTTTTGTTTCAAGAATCCTAATTTGGGCCTAGGAGATGGTTCAGTGGGTAAAAGTGCTAGTCATGCAAGCCTTAGAATCCCTGGAACCCACATTAAAAAAAAAAAAAAAAAAAAAAAAAAAAAGCCTGATACCATTCACATCTGTAATCCCAGCACTCCTAAAGGGAGATGGGAGGTGGAGAGCAGAGAATTACAGGAAGCTTGTAGGCCAGCTAGCCTGGAGTAAGTTGTGCAGCAGAAACCAGAGACCCTGCTCACCAAGTGGAAGGCAAGGTCTTGTTCTCTCCATGGCGCATTTACTCTCTCTCTCTCTCTCTCTCTCTCTCTCTCTCTCTCTCTCTCTCTCTCTCTCTCCCCTCCCTCTCCCTCTCCCTCTCCCTCTCCCTCTCCCTCTCTTCCTCTCTGTCTCATAGTAAATAAAAAAATTTAAAGAAAAATCTTATTTTGTTGCAATTACAGATTCTCAGGAAGCTGAGGCAGGATAATCACTAGTTCAAGGTCTACCTGGTTTACAGAGTGAGTTCAAGTCCTGCTTAAGCTGCAAAGTGAGGCTAAGTGCAGCATGAGCAACTTAGTGAGAACTTGTCTGAAAAGCAAAAAATAAGGACTGGGGCTATGATTCAGTGACAGAATGTTTGCCTCAGCAACACACACACACACGCACACACACACACACACACACACACAATATAGTAATATATCTATATTGTCATAGTTGGGACGTCACTTTGAAAATACAACAGCCAGTTCTGAAATATAACCAACCTGTCTGTGTGGGGTATGTGTGTGTGTGTGTGTGTGTGTGTGTGTGTGTGTGTGTGTGTATGTGTGTGTTTGTAATGGGAATTATCAGAGCAGTCAATGTAGAGTAAAAAAGGAAAGAATTTAAGTCATGTTTCTGTTTTAATAATTTTAAGATATAGACAGAATAGAATATTTAAAAGATGATACGCTTATTAAATGATTAAATTTAATTTTTTTGAACCTGTTTCCCCTCACTCGATTAAGACTGCCTATTGTACAAAGCAGATTTTTTTTTTTTTGAGACAGGGTCTGACTACGTAGCTGGTCTAGAACTCGCTTTGTAGAGCAGGCTGGCTTCAAACAGAGATCCACTTGCCTCTGCTTCCTGAGTGCTGGATTAAAGTTTGGGCCATGACACCTAGCAAAAACCATATTTTAAAAAAAAGTTATAAAGAGTTTCAAATTTATAGAAAATAATGTAACAATTTATGTACCCATCGTCCAATTTTAATAAATGTGCATACTTTGAGAGGACAACTTCTAAATAGAAAGAAACTGGGATGTGGGTTCAGTGAGGCGCCTGTTAGGTTGAAAGTATCAAAAGAGTATTGGACTAACTACTTTCTTGCCCCTTGTCTACCTTAATTCACGAATGGAAGCTGGCTAATTTCCCAGATAAGGAAGTTGAGAAAAGCACTGGAAATAGAACCTTGGGGAAGTAAATCTTGAAATCTTTAGTTATAAATGCCCACAATTACCATTTATGAAACGTGCTTTACTCTGATTATTTTCCAATATGAACTTGCTTGTTAGTTTCCAAGTATGGGAGATATGGAAAGCCAACTTCATAGACTGTGAAAGGCACAGCAAGAGTGGTGCATGGAGTGTGGGTGGGATCCTGTGGACCCGCAGCTACTGAATGTTCCCAAACCAGCTGGCATGAAGTCATTTTTGTGGGTGTCTGATTGTCTTAATACCCCTTTTTTCACTTTTGAAAGGAAGAGATGTTTATTGTAGGTAATACAAATTAATACAAAGAAGAAAATCACCTATAACTCCACAGTTAATGTTTTGTGCCATGTACTTTCTGTTTTTAAACATATGCGTATTTTTGGTATTTTATTGTATATTGTACATGACATATGGCTTTTTTCTTTTGTTTAAGTTTTATTTATTTTTATTTTATGTGTATGTGTGTAGGTAAGTGCAACCATGTTGTGCAGTGCCCACAGAGGTCAGAAGAGGCTGTCAGATCCCCTGGGACTGGAGTTATAGACAATTGTTAGTTGCCATGTGGGTGCTGGGATTTGAACCTGGGTTTTCTGTAAGAATAACCAGTGTTGTTAACCACTGAGCCATCTCTCCAGCCCCTGACATATGACTTTTATGTGGATGCTGGGGACTGTGAACTCAGGTCTTCATGCTTTTGTAACAAGTACTTTACCTACAGAGCCATCTCCCCAGCCCCTGTAGCCTGTTTTTGTTACCTAAAACATTGAATATGTGTCCATGCCATGAATACGTTTCCTTTTGTTTCTAGTGGTGCTTACTGCTATACCCATTTCACTATGTACATGTACCATCTTTTATTTATCCCAGTACTTATATTGGGTATTTAGTTGTTTTTACTGGCTTGTTTTATTTTTGTTGTTGTTGTATGATGAACATCCTTATAGTGCATCTGTAACGTCTAGTACAGATTACTTGAAGTTGGAAAGTCCCTAAGTCCATAAAATATAAAATAAAAAATATTTTATGATTAATATTATCAAATTTCCCTTCAGAAAATTGAAGTCCTCCCATGCCAGTGTTTTTTTACTCTGTTGTGTCTTTTAAAGAGAATTGCTGCAAAAAATGTATATAAAAAGTCAGGATGCTTATATTTGTATTCAAAGTGATATGATTTATTTCTGTAGGGTCACAAGATGCTGCTCATGACCTGGAGGTACTGAGAAAGTACAAGGTAAAAGAATGTTTCAAGTCTGGCATCACAGAGAGGAAGCATTTTCATTCTTTTAACTGTTTAGGAAAGATTACTGCTCTATCTTTTGTATATTTCAGTTTAATTGGTATCATTTTGGCTGTCATCTTAATAATACTGCAAAAAAGTATGCCTACTTCAAATGTGTATATCTGTAATATATCTTTCCACTTTTTAAATATTTATTATTCTTATTTTATGTGTATAAGTGTTATGCATGCATGTAGGTAAATGCACCCGTGTCGTGCAATGCCCATGGAGGACAGAAGAGCCTGTCGGAGCCCCTGGAATGGGAGTTATGGACAGTTGTTAGCTGCCATGTGGGTGGGATATGAACCCAGGTCTTCTGCAAGAACAGTCAGTGTTCTTAACCACTGAGCCATCTCTCCAGCCCATCTTTCCACTTTTATATTCTATTCAGTCTTCTTCACATAACCTCATGAGTCTGACCCAGGAAGCACATATTTCTTGCCTCTGCGTATTTTGTTCTTCTGTAGGGGACAGACTTTCCCTCATTTCTGTCAAAGACCTACCCATGCTTTGTGTTCCAATTTATACCAATCTCCTTTAGTACAGTTTCTTCCCAATCTCCTTCACACAACCAATAGGATTGCTTATTTTTACTATTTTCTCAGAATAATTTTTAGCTATTTACTATTTTGTCAAATGTAGTTTCAACTCATGGATGCTGTGGTTTGAGTAATACATGAAAGTTTTGTTCACAAGAGTTTTATGCTCTGAATGGACCTAAAGATGGAGGAGGACAAGGAAGGGGACAGGGGGAGGAGGAGGCAGTGAAAGCAGCTGGTATAGAACGGGTTGGTTTGATGGGGAAGTACAGAGAGATACCTTTAACCCTGGCTTATTTTGTTTTGTTTGGTGATAGGTGACTCAGGAAAGGCTTCCTGAAGGAGAAAATACTGAAATTTTGCTCTGAAGGGGATAGTGACGGAGCAGACAGAAAAGTATTCAGATAGAAGAATTGATATGTGAGAATACACGAAAGCAAAAGAAAGGCTGAAATGCAATTTAGAAACCACATAATAAAGAGTGTGAAAACAAGCGCTGGGTGTGCTGGTGTACACCTTTAATCCCAGCACTTGGGAGGCAGAGGCAAGAGAGGGAAGCACCAACAAGATCATGAAGGGCCATGTGAGCCAGCCAGTCTGAGTTATTTGGACCTGATCCAAAACCATGGCAGAGAGCCAATGAGAAACTTTACTTGGGGATTAACAGGATCAAATTTGAACTTTAAAAAGATTGCTTCTTAGAACCAGTATGGGAAATAAATTGGAGAATTGCTCAAGCTAGAGATGGAGAGACAGGTTACAATGTTATTTCAGTGCTCTAAGAAAAAATGATGGTGGCATAGATTAGGATGCCAGGGAGGGGAGGGGAAGGAGTGGATGGATTTGAGGACTTCAAGGTTCTCACAGTGTAGTGGTTGATTAGATATAAGGAGAAAGAGGAGTCAGGGCTGATGTCTAACTTTCTTCCGTGACAAAATAGGGTTGGTACTATTCCATGAGGTAGAGCACAGAGCAGGATGGGCAGATTCTGGAGGAAAAACAATGAACCATGTGTTCACTGTTTTTAATTTCAGGTGTCACAGAGCACTAGGTAAAGTTCATCAGCAAACAGTGTAGATAGGTGCACCCAGAATTTCAGGAGACAGCTGAAGCATAGATTAAGTACAGTCAGCTTGGAACTCACCTTGGGAAAGGTGTAAGGTGAACAGAGAAGGAGGCCTGTGGTAAACTCATAGGTTTAAAGCTCATAGTGACACCAACCCTATGAGATGATTAAAGGAAGAAGAATCTGCAGAGGCAATAGAGATGTTAAGGAAGGCCATAAAAATAAAAATAAAAAAGTGGTATTAGGGGATGTAGTTCAGTGGAAGAGGAGTACTCAGCATCTGCAAGTTCTTGACTTGGGGCTGGCAAGTGCTGCCAAACCTGACCACTTGAGTTCAATTCCTGGGACCCACATGGTAAAAGGAGTGAGCTCACTCCACAACATTATCCTCTTATCTCCATATATGTACTGTGGCAAGTTTGCACACACACACACACACACACACACACACACACACACACACACACACTGAATATAATAGTTTTTTTTAAAAAAGATACTAGTTTGATTCTTAACACATGTACACACGCACACACACACACACACACACACACATGGCTTATATAGCGAGGTGTGATACATGCCTATTATTCTAGCACTCAAGAGATGAAAGCAGAAGGATCAAGTTTGAGGACAGTTTGAGTTACATAGTGAGATTGTCTCAAATCAAAACCAACCTTACCCCCAGATGTGATGTCACCAGAAAGTGTATTGAGGAGGAAACAAGTATCACATGTTGTGAAGTTTAATTACAGTTGGACTAAATTACATTCACTGGACTTTGTAACAAAGGATTTGTTAGTGCCTTTGATGGGGAGTGTTTTATTGGTAAACCAGATTTCAGAAGATTGAGAAATTCAGAGGCAATGAGGTAAGGAAAAAAGGTATGTGTGTGTGGGGGGGGGTTCGGAATGTTTTGAGTATGCTTTGAGGCTACTGGTAGAGGAAGCAATAGAAAAGAGAGGAAAGAAAGTATTTTCCGTAGAGGATGGTACCATGAAAGTAGTAGTGTGGTCCCAAGCACACCTACAAAGATGAGCCTTCTAAAGGATGCAGGAACATATCATTTATTATAATAAAGCAGAAGGAAAGGGTGGATGCTGGTATAGGACAATTAGAATTGATGGGAGGATGTACAGGTTCCTATGTGATGCCTTCTGTTTTTATTGTAAAGCAGTGGGTGAGGGAATTTGCTGAGAATAAGGAAGAGATGATAGTTAGAAGGTTTTGTTTATTTTCGTTCTTGAGGTAGGGGTTAGCTTTGTAGCCCAGGCTAGCCTCAAATTTGCAAAACTCTTGCTTCAGCCTCTTGCAAGCTGGGATTACAGGCATGTTTCACCAAATGTGACTAGAATTGGAAGTTTTTAGGTGAGTGAAGAAGGCTTGAAAGAACTGATATGGAGGGTGAGGGAGAATGTTTACTAGGGGAATGTAGTCGCTGAGTATCCCCCAGGGCTAAGAGAGTAGCTAGCTGTGTATAGGCTTGGGGTGGGGGGAGTAAGTAAATTTTCAGTAATCTGATCCTTTCTTTTGGGCCTACTGTGTTAGTCTCTTAGTTCTATACCAGCTGCCCTGTATTGTTACCATCAAGGAACATGGTTTTCCACCTCTAGTGTTCAGTAGGCTTCAAGAGGATAAAGACCTTGTTCTTTTTATCTTTGTTACCAATACTTCTGAGGAAAAAATTTTATTAAACTGAGGATAAAAATTATTATTTGTCTGGGCATGGTGGTGCATGCCTTTAATCCCAGCACTTAGGAGGCAGAGGCAGGTGGATCTCTGTGAGTTCAACGCCAGCCTAGTCTACATAGTGAATTCTAGGCCAGCTGGGGCTACAGGGACACCCTGTCTCAAAAAGGCCAAAAAAAAAAATTATTATGTGCTAAACATTTTTAGTTGTTTCGCAGGGGAAAATAACTACTAATCAATTCATTAGTTAGTCTGATATTTTTACTTGTCAGTTTATTGACTTATGTTTAAACTGTTTTTTTCTTCTGGTTTGTTGTACTTATTACCACCTGACAATGAGAAATAATCGCCCTTAATTGCATAAAAATGTGAGAATGACTGATTTCCTAACAGAAACCGTCATAAATCAATACTTTAACAAAGGTAGAATGTGCTCCAAAGTCTTGCTTCTAATGATAGATTGGTGTTCTTCATGATAAAGTGACCAATAGAATCTGATACATCTTTGTGTTGGTGAATGTTTTTATCATCACTCCCCTCTTAATAGCACACCAGTTCATATTCATCTTTACTGTGATGATGTGAAACAAGAGGCTGTGTATATGATTCTGCTCTTTCAGTACACAGCCACCCTATAAATAATGCCTAGGGGGAAACAAAGCTAAACTGCTTTACTGAATAGAGGGTTTCTGGAAATTTTTAAGGATGTTGCAAAATTTAAATTCATGGCACTATTTCAAAGCAATGCCTTAGAATTTTGGTGAAGTGTTGTAGCTGGTAGAAATTCTCCTGTGGAAGACCGCTTTGGAAATTTCTATATGAATTTAATTTTAATATTTAGAAATGGTATTAATTATTCCATTGTCAGTAAGATAGTCCTTGAATGCTTGAACCAATAAATAAAATAGTTGTATGAAAAAACTCTGTATTAGTTCCTTTTCTGTTGCTGTGATAGAATGCTATGACCAAGTGAACTTATAAAAGGAAGAGTTTATTTGAGCTTATGGTTCCAGGGGAATTAGAGTCTGTCATGGTGGGAAGGTATGCTGGCAGGAAGTGGCTGGAGCAGGAGCAGAAAGCAGAGACACATCTGGAAGCAGGCACAGGAAGCAGAGGAGTGGGGATCAGGAAAGGCTTAAGAACCCTCTAAGGCTGCTCACAGTCACATGCTTCCTCCAGCACAGCCATACCTTCTGAGACCTCCCAAACAGTGCAACCAAAATGTCCAAATACTTGGAGCCTGTGGGGGATATTTTCATTTAAACCACCACAAACTGTAAAAGAGTATGAAAGAAAACCAACAAAAGTGGTTACTGTCAAGGTGAAAGATAATTATTTAGCACGGAGTGTGGTGGGCATACCTTTAATCCAGCACTTTGGAGGCAGAAACAGGAGGATGTTTGCAGGTTCAAGGCCAGCCTGGTCTATATAGGGAATTTCAGGCCAGCCAGGCTATATAGTGAAAAAAAAAAAAAAAAAAAGGACAAGGAGGTAGGATAGAAACTTAATTTTTCTTCTTTATACTTTTTGATTTTTGAGCCACTTAGAAACAAAATTTGATTTGAAACGGAAATAATAATGTCTCAATGTGAAGCTTGAGATAATCTGTATTCCTGGCAAATAAGAAGCCCTCAATGAAGGAACTATTTTTACTATCCTGATTCTAAAGTTCATCATAAGGCCAACATCAATAAAAGGCTCTGCAGCTAAGTCATAGAGGTAGGAAAGAAAGGCTTTAGGATGGAACCCTCATCTCTACCACCCATAGTTTGCAGTTCTTATTCAGATCCTTCAATCAGTACATGCATAAATTGCATTTTCAAACAGCTAAAGTTCTCAGGCATTGGGTAGTTAATCACCTATTGTATTTGTAATACACATCTGTATTTTCACTCGAAGATTTTCATTTCATCTTCTCTCCAATACTGTGACATACAGGGAAGATATATGACAGTAATGATTTCTATAAGTAGTAGGACCTCATTTCTGGGCTAGAGGAATGTAAAATAGAATTGTGATACATCAATATTTCAAAGCAGTAGAAAATACAAAGTAATGACAGAATCTTATACTCCCAGTCAGGAATACACTGGGGATGGGAGAGTGATGTCACATAGTCAGATGAAACTTCTTGGGGGAAAGCAGAGTATATTTCAGACTTTATAATGAAAAATGTTCTGCCTCTTTCTAATTTCTCCTGTCTCTTCCCTTTCTAAGAAGCTATGCTAAGATAACATTTGATTTTTTTTTCTGTTGACTTTTCTCATTAGGCTAATAAAATGACCGAGGCGCTCTTCATGAGGCCTGTGACCTAGTCAATAATCTTTTTGTTTTATGCTACAAAAACCTGAGCAAGGAAAGAGAATGTCTGTAGCGACACAAAGAACCCTGAGCACCTCAAGATACAGTAGCCAGATCTTGCCAGAGACTGCCTTGAGGGAAGGGAAGGCCATCCAGGATAGCCCTGCTCTACCCTGGCTGTCTCTGCATGGCTTCTTCATCATCTCATTGTACAGCAGAATTATTCAACTTCTCTGAGCATGTAATAGAAAAGAGCTCTTAAGTTCATGGATCACTCTTACTGTCTGAAGATAATCCGATCAGCTTAATTGAAGGTAGTTATCCACCCAAATCAAGTTAGCTATGCTGGGGGGTAGAGAAGTGAGATATTGTCAGGGAAAAGAAAGGCAGGACTCCACAGATCTTTGGAAAGCTAAGGTTAGGTCAAATGTAAGACTTATATTAAGAAAAAAGAATATATCATGAGAAGCTTTGTCATGACAAGAAAGTGTGATGTGTTTCTATGACCCATTGGTTTCCCTCCCCTGTCTCCCTCTCCTTTTTTCTCCTTACTCTGAGAATCAAACCCAGGGCCTCTGTTGTGCCACTGAAGTTCATCCCCAGACATGGATTCTTTTTATGAACTAACTCTTTTTTTTGTTTTATTTTGTTTTTAATTTTGAGACAGGGTCTTGCTATGTTGCCCAACCTGGTCTTGAATGCCTGGGCACAAATGCTCCTCCTGTCTCAGCCTCTTAAGTTGACGGGACTACTGGTGTGTACTGTCATGCCAGGCTCTTCATTAGACTGTCCTCAAGTTCTTTCCACATGCTAAGAAAGAGACTCCAATACACGGATGTAGTTGGATGAGGTTGCTTGACTGTATCATCTAGAAGGATATCTGTCATGCTCCCCCTCCTCCACTTACCTTTTCAGCCTGACTAATTCATCTAAATCTTTGAGTCAGAGATTCAGAGGCATTGATAGTTGAATGGTCACCAAGTGATGTTAATGCATAGCCATACTTGACAACCATTTTACTAGTAAAATGGGCTACCTAGTGAGTTCCAGACCACCCCAGGTTATAGAATAAGACCTGGTCTTAAAAAACAACAATGACAGAAGTAGTGAAGAGTATGAAGGGAAACAGAGAAATAGTTATTGAAAGGGGAGTTATGTACCAGGGACACACTTTGGTTACTAATATTTCTGTATGAATATTCACTGATTTTTTTTTCAGTAGCTGCTTTAAGCACTTTATCTGAGTTCATTGTTCATTCAGAGTAAGTACAGCCTGCTCGATGCTTCTTGGAGTTTCCCCTGCAGGGAGGGAGACAGTCTCTAAGGGGTAGGAGCAAGTCAAGAGGGCTACGCATATATCCTAGAAGTGAGGCATGAGCCAGAGGGGAGGCATCTGGGAGAAAGTATCATTCAGTGAGTCAGTTTAAATATTATTCTTATTCTAAAAATTAGCATCTCAGTTTGTTCTTAGATAATCTAATTCATGAAACTTAAAAAAAATCATTTTCTTTTTCTTTCAGGTGACTCATATTCTCAATGTTGCATATGGAGTTGAAAATGCTTTCCTCAGTGAGTTTACATGTAAGACCATTTCTATACTGGATCTGCCTGAAACCAATATCTTGTCTTATTTTCCAGAATGTTTTGAGTTCATTGAACAAGCAAAAATTAAGGTGAGTTTTATTTTGATACAGTTTTTTCAAAAGTAGAAATTTCAAAGTATAGGGCTACTACCCAATCTTTGTTCTTTTTGCCATGAATTTGTGAAGAATCATTGTGAGAATTTCTCTTCAACAATAGTCATTAATTCAGGTTTTTAGCTACTGAATTGTTCTTTTATGAATTAGAAGTTTACTTTTCAATTAACTCAGCTCCATTTCTTTTTAGGTCTTAGTGAGAAATGTTGGGAGATAAAATTCTCTTACTAAATTTTCCTGTGTAAATATGTAGTGAGATTTCCTTTGATGCTGTATAATCACTTGCATTCTGACTAATCTGTAAGATATCAGGTGGACTACAGGGTAGAGACTGCTCTAGTCTTGTTAGTAAATTCACAGTGATTAATATTCATTCATAATGACAGAGGTAGGCATTATGTATCTATGCATTTTAGATTATTTATTTATGAGACAGGGTCTCATGTAGCTTAGCCTAGCCTCAAGCTTTCTGCATAGTCATATATAATCTTAAACTTCTGATTTTCCTGCCTCCACTTCCAAAGTACTAAGATTATAGGTGTACATCATCATGCCTGGTTTTATGTGGTAATGGGGATGGAATCCAGACCTTTTGTGTGTGCTGGGCAAGCCTTCTACCAACTGAGCTACATCCCTAGCTCCTATGCAGTTAAAAAAATATTATTTTTATTTTTATGCATATGAGTGTATTGCATGCATGCATGTAAATGCACCCGTGTCATGTAATGACCGTAGCAGTCAGAAGAGGATGTCGAATTGTCTGGAACTGGAGTTACTGACAGTTGTTAGCTGCCATGTGGGTGCTGGGAATCGAATCCGAGTTGCTTTCAAGAACAGCCGGTGCTCTTAACAGCTGAACCGTCCATCTCTCCAGCTCACTCCTGTGCAGTTTTAACAAATAGAATTTTAAAGCATTCTAAGGACTAGATGCCTATTGCTGCACAGAGGTTATATGAAATGCTAATCAGAAGCTGGTTTTATGACTTTAGAAGACCAACACAATATAATATTATAATCTTTAAAAAATTCGTTTTTACTTTATGTATATGACTGTTTGCCTGCATACATGTATGTATACCATATGCCTGCCTGGTGCCTGCGGAGGCCAGAAGAGAGAGAAGGAGCGCATCAGATTCCTAGGAGTTACAGAGGGTTGTTAGCCACCATGTGAGTGTTGTTGCAGCAAGAGCTGCAAGTGCTCTTAACTGCTGAGCTGTCTCTCCAGCCTCCAATATTCCAATCTTGATATTGGGTCTATGTCAACATTCTGAGAGGCAGGGCTTCTAGGATGGCTATTTATCTATAGATCTTGAAATGACATTTTCTTGGTCAATAAGCAGTAACTTAAAAAAATATTTTATTAATTATTTTTATTTATTTTATTTTTTTTTTTTGATCTTTTTGAGACAGGGTCTGCCTGTAGCCCCAGCTGTCCTGGAACTCACTATGTAGACCAGGCTGGCCTTGAACTCACAGAGATCCACCTGCCTCTGCCTCCCAAGTGCTGGGATTAAAGGCGTGTGCCACCACGCCCAGCTTATTATTTTTATTTTATGTGTATGAGTGTATTGCCTGCATGTAGGTAAGTGCACCCATGTCGTGCAATGCCTCAGGAGGACAGAAGAGACTGTTGAATCCACCAGAACTGGAGTTATGGATAGTTTTTAGCTGTAATGTGGGTGCTGGGATTCAAACTCGGGTCTTCTTCAAGAACAACCAGTGTTCTTAACTGCTGAGCCATCTCTCCAGCCCCAGCAGTAACTTTTTAAAATGTGTATATGTCATTAATTTGCTGATACTCATCCCCATTTCCTTCCTGCTGGTCTACTTCCTCCCCCCAGATTGTTCCGTTTGCTTTTAGACAGACAAGACAGACAGAGAGACAGACAGACAGACAGACACACACACACACACACACACACACACACACACACACACACTTAAATCTAGATTCTGCATATGAGAAAAAACATGCAATATATGTCTTTCTGAGTCTAGTTTCTACTACTTAATGCCAGTTTCAGACATGTTCTTTCAAATGACCATTTCATTCTTTTTATGCCTGAATAATATCCATTGTGTATGTATATCACATTTTTTAAATCTGATCATCTGTTAATAAGTAATTCTTACAACATTTAGGTAAGATAAGTGAATGGGAAAAGAAGCTTTTAGAGAAGAAGGAGCTCCACTGGAGTGTCTAACAGCGACGGGATTAGAATCTAGGTTCATTGGTTTCCCTTCTTCCTTCTCTCCCTCCCTTTTTCTCTCCTTTTTCGCCTTCTTTCCTAATAAAATTTATTAAATTTTTTATGTGCCTAGTACTATTCTATTGCCTTCTGACTAGACTACCCAGAAAAATCTAAAACTAATCTTTACTGCTCATCATCCTTATCAAATACCAGGCATTTGAATGGAAGTAAAAAGTTGTCTAATTCAAAGACTAATTCTGTTCTTTTGTTTAAAAAACAAGTCTATAGATTGTAGTAGTCCAATGCTCCAATTACGTGTGCTAAAAATGAGATGTTTCTGTTTAGCTCCTTCTCAAAATAGATATAGAATATCCTTTACATGGTAAAGTGTATATGTTACCCAGATTCCTATTAAAATTAGAAATGAACACGTACACAAAAATTGGAGAGAGTAGTAGTATCTGAAAAGAAAAGAAACTGTTGATTAATGAGCTTTTGAATTTAAAAAATTTAAATAAGAAAAGACTTATCTTGATTTGGACCAATAGCTAATTAGAATGACTCTTTAACTTTCTTAAAAATGGAGCCTGAAGCAAAGATTAAGAGCTCATGCATAATTCAAGAGGCAAATTGCTAAATTGTGAGTGAAAAGTGAGGAAAGTGTATTCAAGGTAAGGTGAGAAGCTATGCAAGGTAATGTGTCTGCTCCATGGTACACTATTTCACAATGGACTGATAGGGGACAGCAGGGTACTCAATCTGTACTGAGTCTTTATCACCTAAGGCATGTGGGCAGGCAGTGCAAAGAAGCTAGCCTTTGTTGCAGACTTTGAGAGGGATGGGCGAATTTATTAGCCTGGCTTTGGCAACTCTTTTCCCATTGGTTCCATTTGCCTACTGGTCCTACAGTTCCAGGCTTCAACATCTCACTCCTTTACCAGACACCTCAAAACCAATCTAGTGCCTGGGGTGTGAGTTTTCATTCAAGTCTGGAAGTAGCAAGAGAATCAGAAATCTAAGTGTGCCTGCCTTTGCAAGAGCCTGGCCTTTTTACACAAGCCTAACTGGGTGGGCCTGAGCAGAGGAGTCAGCTATGGAGATGGTGGTCTAGGTAGAGAAGGTCAGTTCATCAGATATGACACTGAAAGGATGCTTCCCGTACAGGATGTATTAGACTTCTACAGTGTGCTCTGGTTTCCCAGTTTTTACACTGGGAGCCTAACCTTAGCTGCTGTTTCCTTGCCTTGAAAACACTTTATTATTTAAACTAATGCATATTTAGTTTTAGTAATAAAATATTGAACTCATTTACTGATTTTTTTTCTAGAAGATGTTTCTTCATGACTTTCTCTATTTTTTATATCATTTATTTGTATTTTATGTGTATGAGTGTATTGCCTGCATGTATGTAACTGTACTTGTGTCACGCAGTGCTGGCAGAGGTCAGAAGAGGGCAGTGATGTATCCCTAGGAACTGGTATTAGGGATGGTTGCTAGCCACCATGTGGGTGCTAGGAACTGAACCCAAGTACCCTGCAAGAACAGCCAGTGCTCTCAACCGCTGAGCGATCTCTCCAGCCCCTCACTTTGTCTGTTTTGTATTCAAGTATTGTTAATCTACTCAGGGAATTGCAGATTTTCATGCTGGCTTCCTGAGCCCTAGTTTGCTGTTTTTATCTTTTTTATGCACAGTTGGTAAGTGGAATGTCTTCCATTTTTCCATGTCTTTTCCTATTTCCCTCTGTACTTATAAAACCCTGTTTAGTTTCTCTGTCCTTCCAACTATCTCTATCTCACTCATCATTTGCAAGTGTATGCCTAACTGGTTAAAAATACACATGAGAAACACTCCTCTCTATATCCTCCAGAATTGTTTCAGGAACTAAATCTGTCTGGCCTCTTTTATTGTGTGCAGAAAATTTTACTTGTTAGTATTAAAGCATATATTTGGGGCTGGAGAAATGGCTCAGGAGTTAAGAGCAGTGACTGCTTTTGCAAAGGACCCAGGTTGGGTTCCCAGCACACACATGGTAGCTATCAACTCTCTGTAATTCCAGTTCCTAAGGTTTTGATGCCCTCTGCAGGCACTACATGCAGACAAAACAGTTATATGCATAAGAAAGTAAATAAATAATTTTAAACATATTTAATATTTTGTGTTAATTTAGTTATCTAAAACATAATACATGCTCATCATACAAAAAAAATCAAGATTATTTTATTCCCATACTTAGACATAACCAGTATTAACATTTTAATGTATTTTTCTAGGATTTTATCATTTACTCATTACTTTATTATATGTAATTTCACATAGGCACTTTTTTCCCCCAGTTAATTATTTATTTAATAACCACATACTTAGAAGCATTTCATTACAACAGCATTGACATATTCAATAACAATTTTCTGAGCTAAGATGCATCTTTTTCAAAATTGGCTGTAAATTTTTAGGTTTACAGTTGAATTGTTACAGTTATAAAATATTGTACTCAGTATAAACCCTATAAGACATAAAATTAAGTGAGGTTTTAACCATTAAAAAAGATCTCTAATTATTAAAATATACAGTTTCATACAGAAAAATTCATTTTCAATGCAATTGACATTAAGATGTTTGCATATGCATTTCTAATCTCTGTATATCTGATTATTACTAGTGACAGTCGGTTACTTTCTGAGTTCCTTGGCATCTGAGCATGGATATAAAGTCATCAGGTAGATTTCAATGGTAATCTTTTTTATATCTACTAATTATTATTTTTTATCATTATTTTTTTAATT